TTACTTCGTAATTTAGTAATGTATGGTCTGTAAAAGGGCTGCAGGGGACCATTATTTGGAAATTTCTGCCCGAGATTATATCCTGATTTGACCGAATATCTTCCTGTTTTTGCATATTACCAAATATATAAATCTGCCATGTCTATCATTGTAGTTAGAATTCCAGTGATGTATGGAATATCCTCTGGAACAATGAGCTGCTTAATTAACGGGATATTCCACGTTTTAGTAGTTGAATCAATCAGATCTTTTACTTTTAGGTCAGGGTATAAATTATACCCCTGACATGTTGCTGATCTCGGGCAAGTAGCCGGTAATCATGGGTCGTTCCATACAGATATAGAATTTCTGGATCCGACTCTTTTAATAAGCTTTTTTAAAACCAAAGATCTAGCAGATATAATACTCTGCCAACCATAAGATGTTGAGTATGAGCGTATTGGATCCAAAGGACCTCCATTGCAATAATAGCGTCCTTTGAACACTTTGGCAAACAACGACTCGAGATGGTCAATAAGCCTCTATAGCTGTTTAGCCAGCAAAGCCGTATTAAAACCCTCAATTATTCAGAAACCTAATCCACCATCCATTTTGTGTTTACACAATTTTTCTCATGTCATCCTATGTATGCCTCTAGTCTGTTCGTTCGTGCTCCACCAATATTAAGCTACCATACTTGTCAGTTTTTTGTGATAGTTTGCAATAGACGGAAAAATGACATGGCATATATTGGTGTCGCTGAGGAAACGGACTTGATCATAGCCTCTTTCCCTGCCTTCGAGAGCAATCTTGAAGTCCATCCATTTATCCGTGTTTGCTGTTGATCGACTAGAAAACTGAAATCTTAGTTTTAGCACCACCTAAACTCTCCGGGATTTCTAAGTAATTTTCCATCCTCCCAATGTTCAGAATCTCTAAAATTTGGTGGACCACCTCTTTAATTAAGGGATCCACTGTATGGCCATATTGTACCAACGATATGGTAAAGTTTATCTTCTGTCCTAATACTAACTCATATTGTTTAAGAACACGGAGTAGTACATCCGTTTCTTCTTATAGCCTTGCGAAAAAATAGGTTATCGTCCAAAAAAATAGATGTGAAAGTGGTGGCATGCATGTGCTACCTTCATCCATGTGACAAGATTCATACGTTTCGCTTTTTTCAGATTCGCTATTAAGACCTTCATACAGAGAATAAATAGATAAGGTGATAAGGGATCTCTCTATCTGAGTCCTCTTTTGGGTACAATGTGTCATCTAGCATGACCATTGACAAGTACTTTATATTGCACTAACTCTATACTCCACATTATCCATATAATCCATTATTCCGAGAAGCCTATTTATAATAAATAAGTAATTGGCCTGTTCAGTAATATAATTGTAAAAACTTAAAATACTTTTGAAAAAAATAATTAAAAAAATAATAATTCTTCTTTATTCTTCACATTATTTATATTATTTATATTCTATTTTTATTGATATTTTTCATATTATTATAGATTTTCATCTTATTGCATCACATTTCGTCCTATTTATGGTTCATAAATCTTGCTATATAATTAGAATATATTCAAATATAATATAAACCTTCGTCCTTTGTATGTAATGAGACAAAATATGATAATAAAAATTAAAAAATTCTCCTTCAAAAAATCTGATTATACAAATTTCACAAAAAAACTTGAACTTGTAAATATTTAACAATAAAACTTCTTAAAAATAAGATTCCCAACAAATTCCGTCAAAAATCTAATTTCACAAATTTTCTGCCAAAAACGTGAATCAGTAATTTTTTCACCAAAACAATTATGTCAAAAATATGATTCCAAACATATTTAATCATGACCGCCAAAAAGTGAGTCAATACCAAAAAAATAGTCAAAAAATTATATTGAAAATGTGATTCTAAAAATGATCAGTCAAAATTTTGATTTCATGAATTTTACGCAAAATAAGCGAAGCCGTAAAAATCTTCTGCCAAAAAACTGACTTAAAAATATAATTTCAAAAAAAAATCTGTGAAAACATAATTGCAGCAAGTTTCCTTAACTTTCCCACCATAATATTTATTTTAGAATTTTTTAATTTTAATTCATAAATTTTTTGCCAAAACTTTTAATTCGTAAATTTTCTGTCAAAAATGTTTCGTCAAAATAAATTACCATAAATTTCCCGCTAAATTCTTGAAATTCGAAAATTTTCCAACAAAAAATTTGTAACAAAATATGATTTCAAATCTACTTGACAAAAAACTTATTTTCTAAATTTCTACCAAAAACTTGTGTATTTCTCGTATCAAAATTTGAATGTCAAATCTTATTTATATATTAAATAATATTATATCACAATCTATATATACTAAAAATTGACATCTCATAATTATATCATCATTATTATACGTTGTTATTTACTATGTTATATTTAAATTATTCAAACTAAACCTACTAACTAATAAAATTAAAACAAATAAGTTTTTTTATTAAATTATATTCTTAATTGATATATAGAGGATCAATATTCTAAATTATTATCTTTTTATATAACTTATAGTTTCTTTGTTTGTAACTTTTAAAACAAAATTAAATTCATATTATGTGAAGTTAAAAAATATATATAAATAATATATAAAAGCTTATTAAAAATTAAATTTATAATATGAATAGTTTTATTGGACAAGATTTAACTAATATATATATATATATATATATATATATATACTACGTGTTTCCCCGCACAAGGTGCATAGTTTAATTAATTTTTTAAAAAAATAATAACATTAGTTTATTTAATGATGAAAAAATCAGATTTTATAATTATTTGAATTAAAATTAATATATTTGAAAAATAAAATTTTCATGAGATATATTGGCTTTTGACAACATAAATCAATTTTCATAAGATTTAGAGTTTTACTTGTGACCGCATAAATCAATTAGGTTAATCAGAAATATTAGTTGATTAAATAATCAAATTAAAATTAGTTTAAGAAAATAATTAGAATTGATTTTTTGTGATTTATGCTAATTATCTTTTTTAGTAAACTGAATATTCTCATGATATAAACTCGAATTTGAAAATTTAAGTTTAACTAAAACAAAAATTAAAAATTAGATTATATTAATTTTGTTAATTTCATTAAGGGTAAATAAAGTCTTTTCATATAAGAGGCAAATAGTAATCAACCATCATAACTCTCAATCACAGCTCAACTTGTTTTCTAATTAATAATATGATATATATATATATATATATACTAGGAGTTTGGCCTGCACGCATGTGCAGGCATAAACAGTTTTAAAAAATTAATTACATAAATATAATATCTAAATTGTTATAAATATTTTAGTTTTTATAATATATAAAAAATTAGATAGAGCGATTAAATTATAGGCCCTAATAGCAAAATATGGTATAATTTTAACTAAACCTTTTATTATAACAAAATGCCTATTTTATTATGTTAAAGGGCAAATGGGTTAGATCCGTGGATAGCTGGTTGAGCGGGTTACCTGCTGCGGATTTGCGGGCCAAGCATATATAGCTGCAAATTTCATCATCTACTTCGTCTTCAATTAATCTTCTTCAATTTATCCAGTTATTTAGCCTCTAAATTCTCTAAGACTTCTTTGTATAAAACAAATATTTGAACTAAAATAAATTAAACACAGAAAATTATTTGAATTTAAATATATTCCAACTTCTCTTTGTATATTTGTTTAGCTTCTGTTTCGTATGGACAACAAAAATGGATTCTTTAGTTAAACATTGTTAGATTAATGTTACTTTGGATTATATAGTCGGTGCATATGATGAAGACAATTCTCATAATTTTTATACAATTTGATGATACAATAATGTTGCTTTGGATTATATTGCGCAAAGACAATCTCAAGAAAACTGTTAAAAGTAGATAATCATACTTCGGTTAACAAAACGTGGTATACTCTAACTTCTCTTTGTATATTTGTTTAGCTTCTATTTTGTGTGGACAACAAAAATAAATTATTTAGTTAAACATTAATTGTTAGATTAATGTTACTTTAGATTATATAGTCAGTGCATGTGATGAAGATATAATTTTTATACAATTTAACTTGTACAAATATGTGCATGTAATAAAAAAATATAACATATGTTTTGTGCATGTGATAAAAAATGACGGTTTATAATTTATATTAATAATTAAATATTTTATATTTTTCAGTTTTCATAAAATAATTATTTGAACTAAAATAAATTAAACACATAAATATTTTTTGCCATGTCATAATCCACATGTGTTAGCAAATGCCATGTCACAATTACATCATCATTACACATCATCATTTCCATGTCACATTTAATTAGGTTAGATTGATGTTTTTAACCAATAAAATTAAAACAAATCAGCATATTTCATTAAACTACATTGTTAATTAATAGATAGAGGATTTATATTAATAATTAAATATTTTATATTTTTCAGTTTTTATAAAATAATTATTTTAACTAAAATAAATTAAACACATAAATATTTTTTTGCCATGTCATAATCCACATGTATTAGCAAATGTCATGTCACAATTACATCATCATTATACATCATCATTTCCATGTCACATTTAATTAGGTTAGATTGATGTTTTTAACCAATAAAATTAAAACAAATCAGCATATTTCATTAAACTATATTGTCAATTAATAGGTAGAGGATAATTAAATATTTTATATTTTTCAGTTTTTATAAAATAATTATTTTAACTAAAATAAATTAAACACATAAATATTTTTTGCCATGTCATAATCCACATGTGTTCTATATATGTTAGCAAATGACATGTCACAATTACATCATCATTACATATCATCATTTCTATGTCACATTTAATTAGGTTAGATTATGTTTTTAACCAATAAAATTAAAATAAATCAGCATATTTCATTAAACTATATTGTCAATTAATAGGTAGAGGATGTGATTTTTTTTTCCCATTTGTGAACTATTTTTTCCAAGTACAGATAAATGAAACTTAAGAAAAGAAAAAACCTTCTTTTTTTTATTAATTTTGAAATTTTCAGTCGCACAACGACGACTGATTTTTTATATATTTAAAATGAGAAAATGGCATAATCCCCCTTCAAATCACAGATTGCTCGTTCAACTATTTTCATCATCTTCCCACCTTCTTCTTCTTAGAACACCAAATCTGAAACCATAAATTGACACAACGATGAAATCTTGTAAAGGATCATCCATTCTTGCTACCGATTACTACCCATTCCTCTACGCCCGACCCATCTCCTCTCTACCCGCTTCTTTCCCCTCCACTACTCTCTCTTACCCGACCCGAAACCGATTCTTATCAACCCGAATCCAAGCCCGGATCATTCACGACGACCCGGTAAAACAATCGGAGGATTTAAGTTTCTACGATCTTCTCGGCGTCACCGAATCGGTCACTCTCCCTGAAATTAAACAAGCGTATAAACAGCTTGCTCGGAAATATCATCCCGACGTTTCTCCGCCGGATCGTGTCGAAGAATACACAGATCGGTTCATTAGAGTTCAAGAAGCTTACGAGACTCTCTCCGATCCTCGCCGGAGAGTTCTCTATGACCGAGATTTGTCTATGGGATTTTCATTTTCTTTCTCCGGTAGACGCCGGAATCGATTCGATGAGGTATTCATGCATACACATCCTTCTTTTTCTTCCTTGTCCATTTTTATTTTCCAGAATTCTTGTTGTTGAGTGTTTTTTTCAGAATATACCAATGGCCGATTTTTAGCATTTTTTGGTGATAAACAAAAAACAATAATTGGGGAAAAAAAAACCAGCACCACTGTTTAGCTGTATGGTTTAGAAAATTTAAGAGTAGACAATAACCTTTTAATTATGTCACACTGGAAAGTTTAATCCCGCGATGTTGATTTTATTGATTGGGATATTCTCTTGTGTTCATATGTTTCGGTATTATCCGCAAAATTTTCTGTACATTTTCTTTATTTTTCAGTACCTTAGATTTACCGAAATATTCGAGAACCTTTATGAGTATCCTTGTCGACAGAAATTGACTCTCTTTATCTTTTTCTTTTTATTATGGTCCAAAATTTTGACCCATGTGTGAATTATTATTAGATGAAAAATAGTCTACTTTTATTAAAGATAGGATCAGCTCAACTTGGTTCTCTTATTGACCCCTACATGACTCAATGATCCTTTGAATCCAATCATTTCGTTACAGTCATATTCCTAAATGTGAACCAAACCATTTGACCAATACAAAACTGATTTGAGTTTTGGTGATTATTTGTAAAAACAGGAAGTGGTTGAAGAGAAGAGTGATTGGAAGAAAAAATGGCAAACTCAGCTCTCAGGGCTTAAGAAAAGAAGCAATCAAAAAGACAACTCAATGTCTTGGGCTGCTAGAATGCGCCGGCAACAACACATGTCTGAAGATTCTCCATAACCCACCAAGAACCAAATCTCGCCTTCTTAATGTATAGTTTTTTAAATAATTGTGTAATATAGAAAGCATAGCATATAAACTCGCAACTTTGTATATATATAGTATATACTCTTTTGTGTGCCAAAGCCAATCGGCAAGCACATTATAAGCCGTAATCACTGAATAAGTTTCATTTGCTTGTGGGTTTTTTATTAGTTAGTTTTGCAATTGAAATGACCTCGAATTCGATTTTTGGCAGCATCATTTGTAATAATGTCATAGTGAGTGGTAGTATGACAAAAACAAATAAAAACAACATAAAGAGGAAGAAATAGTGGTCTGGTAAAAATGTAAAAGATTCTGAAGCACTCAGAATTAGTATATTTGATTAGTTACGTAAAGTGGTACATGTTTTTTATCGGTAACATGATAAACGGTTACAAAATAAATAAAAACTATGAAAATGAGTTGTAATGAAAAGCGATATAAAAAAAGTTGGGTATATACTGTTAGTCTATTAGTAACACTTTGTTTGTGATTGGTAAGTGGTAACTATTGTTAATTAAAAAGTAATTTAACCACTTTTGTTACACCAATCAAAATAGAACAATCAGAAACGGTAAAGAGAAATTCGTACAAATCGTATTCACTAGCAAAACTTGTACTAATAAGTCATACCATCCATTTCTTTTATTTTATTTTGGATCAAAAGTTATACCATCCATTTTTTTTTTTTTGTCAAAGATTTAATATTAATGAAAATTTAAGTGTTTATAAGAAATCCACTGGGCTAAATAAAGTAAGAGCTGATTTTGCAAGCCCGTTTGCCACATGATTAGCAGATCGGGGCATAAAACTGAAGGATAGAGAAGAGAAGAGATGAGCAAGGCATCTAATGTCGAAAAGGATACATGCGATCTCTGTCAAATCCGCCCTCGTAGAGAGGATATTGATAAGGACTTCCGAGTCCGATTGAAGGTGGAGATCACTAATCTCCAGCGAGTTTGCCTTGCGAAGTGCCGTTAGGACCGCCAGGGCTTCTGCTACCATGGCTGAGGAGACGAAGCGTTGCGCCGTTGAGATTTCTGCGATCACTGATCCTCTGGAGTCTGAGATGATCCATCCCATGCCTCATATTCGCGAATTCGCTTGCCATGCGCCATCTGTGCAGCAGATCGCCGTCGTGGATCGTATGGGGGGATTTCTCGGCTGTCCTGTCTTCGAGAGTACCGAGGGTAGGGAGGTATTTGCTGAGTGCCAAAGGGTCGCTTCCTAGGTGGCTTTGGCGACCAATTCCGACGCTGTGTAGCCCAAACCCTCGAAGGTGAGCTTGTTTCTAGATGTCCATAGATACCAGAGGATCCAGGGGTAAAGAGGTGTTTCCAGTAAAGGCGATGACGGTTGGTTCTTTGACTTGTAGAGGGAGCGTAGCAGATCTCTAGAGTCCACGTCTGGAGAAAGACCTTCCAAGTTGTGTACTATGGGGGTTGCTCTCCACACCTCTTTTGTGTAAGGGCAATCAAACCATATGTGGGAGACTGTCTCATGTTCTCCACATCTTGCACAACAAGCATTTGCGTTTATTCCCACTGGTAATGCATTGTTAATTGCCTTCCAGAGATAATGCTTGATCTTTTGTGAGGTGCGTAATTTCCATATGAACTGGTACCAATCAAACTATGTATCACTGCTTTGATTGAATCTTTTTTGGAGATTGTAACCTGTCTTTGTTGTAAACTTTCCTGATTTCGCAGGTAGCCAGACTTGGTAGGCCGGAGGTTTCCGAGAGCTTGGGATAAGCAGTCTGATGGTTTTCTCATACTGAGGTAAGTGAGTTTGAATTGCCTTTAAGTTCCAGTTGTTTGTATCCTGGTGCAATAGGTCTTTGACGTAAGGTTTGCATTGCTTCATGTAGGTGGTCCCATGGGAGCTTGGGGGTGTTCTGTCGAGAGCCAGGGCTCAGTCCAGACGTTGATGTTTTCTCCACTGCCCACTACCCATCCAAGACCTTTCTGGAGCACTTTCCTGCCTTCCAAGATGCCTCTCCAGCCGTGGGAGGCTCCGGCTGGACAATTAACCTCCATGAAGCTTTGATCTTGACAGTATTTTCTTAACAGAACCTCTGCGAGTAAGCTATCCTTATTCTTCAGGATTCTCCAGCTTTGTTTCGCTAGGAGAGCCACATTAAATTCTTCTATCTCACTGAACCCTAATCCCCCTGCTTTCTTTGGTTGGGCTAATTTTGTCCAGGCCACCCATGAGATTTTCTGCTTCTCCGGGGAGGAGTCCCAGAAGAATCTTGTCAAAATTGACTGGATGCGTCTACAGAGGGACTTAGGGAGCAGAAAACACGACATCGTGTAGGTTGGTAGAGCCGAGAGCACCGCTTGGAGGAGAATCTTCTTTTCGGCACCTGAGAGGAAGCGGGTGGCCCAACTGTGAGACCTTTGTCTTATTCTGTCAACGAGGCCTGTGAATACATCCCTTTTTCGTCTTCCAAAGGATTCAGGTAAACCGAGATATTTGTCTGAGCCGCCTTCCTTGGTTATCCCCAACAAGTTTTTCAATTTTTCTTTTTATCTCTTGAGGTGTTTTACTCGAGAAGGTGATTGTAGATTTGTCTAGGTTTATGCGCTGATCTGATACTTGCTTATATTTCCTCATGATACGGGATAATTCTTGACAGCAGGCTTCATTGGTTCTGCAGAAGAACATGGTGTCATCCGCAAAAAGGAGGTGGTTAATGTGGGGACTTCTCTTAGCCACTTGGATCCCTTTCAGTTTGCCTGACTCCTGAGCCTCTCGTCAGAAGCCTGAGAGTACTTCTGTACATAATATGAAAAGGAAAGGGGAGAGGGGATTGCCTTGTCTGAGTCCTCGAGTGGGGAGTAATTTGCCGTATGGGGAACCATTTATGAGGAAAGTGTATGTCACTGAGGTGACACATGCCATGATCCAGCCCACGAAGGTTTGGTGGAAGACTAGGCCTTGCAGTACTTCTCGAAGGAATCCCCACTCTATGCGGTTGTATGCTTTGCTCATATCAGTTTTTATAACCATTGAACAACGTTTCGTGGCATGTGACACTTTTAAGTGATGTAGGGTCTCGTGTGTGATGAGGACATTGTCCGTGATGGCTCTACCAGGGATGAAAGCTGACTGATGTTCGGAGACGAGATTACCGAGGAGAGGTTGCAGCCGGGAGGTGAGGATCTTTGCAATGATCTTGTATCTCACGTTACAGAGGGCTATGGGGCGATACTCAGATGGTGTTTTAGCCGCTGAGGACTTGGGGAGGAGGAAAACATGGGTGTTGTTGAGGTTAGTTTCCATTATCTCTGAAGCGAAGAATCTTGTAATATCTCTGCTGATATCATCTCCTATAATGTGCCAGAAGGAATGGTAGAATCCTGCTGAGAAGCCATCCGGTCCCGGTGCTTTGTCTGCTTGAATGGCGAAGGCTGCCTCCCGTATCTCCTTATTTGAAGGTAATATAACCAGTTGCTCATTCGTTTCTGAGGAAACCCTTGCTTTAAGGACCTCTAACCCTTGTACTCTGATGTGCCATTTGAGGTTAAGATTTCTTGGTAGAATGATAAGAAAACTTTGCTTATTTGGTCCTCTTCAAGCACTGAAATCCCCTGGCTATTTTCAATAACCGTGAGATGATTCGCCGATCTTCTACCCTTTATTACTGCGTGAAAGTAAACAGAGTTTTTGTCTCCTTCTTATAGCCACTGGATTCTACTCTTTTGCCTCCAGAATAGTTCCTCAACCTTATAAGTCTTGTCGAGTTCCTTAAAAATATCACTTAGGAGGGTTTTATTTGGATTTACTTCTGAGAGGGCCACTTCTAGGGCACTTTAAAGTTTCTTCATTACTTCAGCACTACTCTTTTGCTTTTCTTGTGCCCACTTAATCAGTTCTCTTCTTTGTTGCCACTGTTTCAGTTGTATTCGGGCACCGAGTTATACCATCCATTAAAACCCCAAAAAGGTATGCAATCAATTTCAGCAATGAAAATTTAATTATTTAATTTTGTAACGTTACAATCTTCGCTTAAATTATACTTTTGCTTTTTCTTTTTTATTTAGCATCAGATTAGTCGAAGCTTTAACTGATAATTCAACCGCACATCATCTGGGAAAGAACAAACCACGATAAAACTAAACAAAAGCCCAACATTCATCATCTCTCGACGCTTTTACTTATTAGCCGTTGAATTTTACGCCGCGATCAAACCACACTTCTTAAATTCCGATTTTACCCTCTCCATCTCTTCCTCCGGCAACGTCACCGTGACAACTCTCTCCTCCGAATTCTCCGCCGCGAAAACAACCACCAATCCCTCCTCCCCTATCCCCTCAACATTACAGTACACAGATTCCGGCGACTTCCCTTTCACTTTCGCCTCATACAAATCCACTTCACTCAGATCCACAAACGTCAATTTCGCCCCGTAAACAACGAAATCCAAAATCCCATCACAACTCTCCCCAATCTCATCGATTCCACATCTCTCGTCCGTCGATTTCGCCATACATTTCACTAATTCCTCCACATTCGCTTCAGCCACCGGAAAATCCACGTGGACGGAGCTTATCATCTGACTATTTCGGATCCCTTTAGGTTTCAGCTCGTTCGGATCCTTTCTGATGATCGTAACAGTTACAGGATTTGGCTCTTCCCTAACCTTAGCTATGCATTTCCATATGATCCCTGCGAGAATCCCGAAAACCGGAATTTGATCATCTCCGTTTGCCGGAAAATATGGTGATATCTGGTCGGCGACGGTGAGATTGAAACAGTAATTCGCCATTTTCTTGTTGTTAGGAGTGATCCAGAGATCTCCCACCGGGTCGACCCGTTTGATGGAGTCCAGGTCCTTAACCGTCGGGTTTGGTTTTTGAAACCTTCTATCTTTCTCCGAGGTTTCTCGGATATAAATCTTTTCCCCTGAAATGGCCTTAGCCCATAAGTTGAAGGCATCGAGTAAAGAGAATGAATCTCCCATGATATTGGCCCAGCTAAGGCCCAGAGCTAATCCTCCGCACTTAAACCGAGTCATCTGCAGAAACAATGAATTTTATTTATAATTTGATATGATAGAGCTAACTCATTTAATTCAGCTCAGCTCGTCTTAAATTAAAGAATTTTATGATTCAGGTTGTTTATTACTATGTCTATACATGAGTTAGTTGGCGATTAAATTACTATTTTTTTAGTGATTAAGTTTTTGATCGATCAGGTCAAGAAAACCGTCTGAATGATTTTGGTTGCCTAAAGATCGATTTTAAAAACATTACCCAAATCAGTCTAAAACCGGTTGAAAATCCACAGAACAATAAATTCTCGTACACATAGACTACCATAACTAAAAATTTAGCCAAAAAAAAAACAATGAATTCGCATTATGATCTGAGAAGTGAGAAGTCTGAATTTTTATCATTAAATTTGGCACCTACTCCATTGTTTTAATGAGGCAGTGTCTCTCTCTCTTATTTTTTTTTTTTGAACATTTAAGGCAGTGTCTTTTCATACAAGTTAATGGTACGGTCAGATCTTTCGTGTATTGATTTTTTCATACACATTAAATGTTTCTTATCTATATATTTCATCTGCCTTTCTCAATTAGAACAATAGGACAGTTCATCAGAAAGAAAAATGAAACCCAAAAATAGGATTCTAATACAGTGTACCTAAATCCTGTAATAATTGCTTTTGTTTAAAGATCAGACCCAATCAGCATATTTTGTCTTCTTTTATTTCCTGCTAAATGTACATATGTCCTCTTTTACACCTTTTGGAATAATATTATTGGCTTTGTTAAATTGTGAGATAAAAAACAGTTCATCTCAATGAACTCGAATTTATAGAAACACTTATAAGAGTATTCTTAGACCATGTCTATCGGTCATTTCTACTTGAGTTTTTAAACATTAAAATATTAAAAAAAATTGATTAGCATGAGAGAGAAAGAAACAACGTATATTATATAAGAATTTTTAGATACGTTTTTTAACTTTGTAAGATACTTGTCTCTTAGTTATTTGTTTACTTTCTCTTTTAAGATATAATTTAAATCTAAAAATAAATGAAAAGAAAAATATTGATTTTATAATGTTTATATACCCACTTTGAATCTCCAACCGATGGATGTGCTCTTATCTATGTTAGTAGAGTTCTCAAAAAAAATATTATAATAAGAATATTGATATAATAATATATGGCTATCTAAAAACTTTAGATATTTATGCAAAAGTATCTCATTTGAGAATTCCATTGCATGGTTTGAGATATCCATGTATTATCATATTTATATTTTTTATTGAATTGTTTTTAGAATGTCATTGATATACTTGCAATGAATATGCTTATAGAGCATTTTCAACAACAACAAAAAAAAACTTTATTTTGAGGGTGCATGATTTTTAAAATAAGGGTGTGAGGTTGGATTGTTCCAACGGTAGATTCTGAAATCTATTTCTAATATTATTTAAATTTATATAAAAAAAAATTCTTGTCATTTAGAAAAGTATATAAGTTTAGTTGTTAAAGGCTGAATTATACAATACCATAGGATCTATATATAACCATTTTTAAATTTGTCTATAGATAGTCAAATATACCTCGGTCGATTATATATATGATGTAAATTCATTTACATTAATAAAAAAGTAATGTAAACTAATAAAATAAATGACAGTACACACTATATTTCTTGTAGTGATATAACCAATAATGCGATTTGTGTGTGAGAGAAATCAAAAGGAATATGCAATCAAAGAGAAATTTGTTGTAGTAAAATTACCTGAACAAATATCATAGGAGAGAATGGCAACTCCGGTCCAATGGGTTGATGGTAAACAAGATACTCATCAACTGACCGATCCGGTATACTAAGCCACTCTTGCACCGTGAGATTGCAATCACCTTCCACGAAACGCGTGCCACAGTCGTTGCACTTGATGTACGGACGGCCCGAGTCTTTCCGCCAGAGCCTTCCTGTGGTCCATGCGATCTGGTCGAACAGCATGAACATAGCCGCCTTCACGTGTGTCACGGTCAAGTCACGTGCCGTATCGGACGAGTAAATGTACGCCGCCTTGAGGTAGTGGAGCTTCATGGCTAGGTCTAAACCGGTTGGTTCGTGGGTAGTACCGGTCTCCGATGGTCGGGTAGCACCTACCGTCGATAACCGGATGTTGTATATCGGACCCTGACCTTGACCCTTTTCTTGAGATCGACCCATGATGGCTTAGTGGAGTTGAATTGATTATATATATGTAATCTTGAACTAATTAACTAGTCGATGAATGTATACAAATATATGAAAAAAAATATTTGCTTCAAAATTTATTTCTCTCTCTCTCTCTCTCTCTCTCTCTCTCTCTCTCTCCCTAGAGAGATTTCTCTGCTGTATAATGAATGTAATCTAACGAGGCTCTGGTGTATATATAGAGACGATCGATGGTGTTAACATGTTATGTGTTACGAGTAGGTGAAACCGTTTAATTGTTTGCTTCTTTTTTTTTGCCTGATAAGGTTAATTATGTTCAAAGGATCAATTCATGGTTCATATTTTTAATATTTATCATCACCTACACGTATTAAGGTCTTACAACCAAACACTGAGCTATTGAATTCGCTTTAAAATACACAGTTTTAATATTTTATACATATTTTTATTAGTAGTATAGGTTCGTTTTCAATAATTTAAATTACGAGAAATGAGGAAAGTTTTTATGATTTTATTTTATAGTATGTGAGATTGAGTCGGCTTTTATATTAATACTATGAAGGGAATTTTTTTGTTTACGTTTGACTCAACTATTTATGCTGTTGATTTATCATTATGTAGAGATAATTAATGTCTATTTTGAGGGCCGGTACTTAGTACTAATAGTATAATTCTAATTTTGGGGAATTAGGATGGCTGAATTGAGCCTCCAACCGAAATACCGGCCGTGAAATGTGGAACAAACATTCACGTGGATAACAAGTTAAAAGCAATTAAGCTTCAAACTAGAAAAACTGTTGATGCCAAAAAAAAAAAAAAAAAACTGTTATTTCACTTTACGAAATGAAAATATAACATTTTGGTGAACTATATAATTGGATTGTATAGAGTAGACAGATCAAAGTAGACCCATCTTGATATATATATACATTGCTGTACAAAAATATTTTCGACCTAGTCTGATTATTTAGTATCATCTTCAAAGGAATTCGTTTTGTGGATAAAGGTAGGATTCGAATTATTCCGCTGTAATATCATTATAGATGGGCTTTAGTAGAAAGAATATCAGTTTTTTCTTATAATATTTCAAAAATCAATGTAGGTTTTGATGCCGGATCTACTGATTGTTAAAGAAAATAGTAGCAGAAGTTTGCAATCTTTTCATTTGATCCTACTTCTAGTAAAAAAAAGGTAAAACATTTAGATATTTTCAAGACTACTGGTAGAATTATTGGTTGGCTGAAATCACACATTTAATGCATATTTTATTCAAGTGGACAAACATATTTAAAATTCTTGCTGATATAGATTTTGCTCTTTATAGTTTTATAGAATCCCTTCACAACTCTTCATAACTTTATGTTGTCATCCAAGAAAGTTTCTGACTTTAGTCTCTATCTTTTAGTTGGCAAAGTTTCTTAGTCGTTTATTACTATAACGTTTGGTAGATTATTACAATCCATTACTCATCAATCATCAGAAACAAGATAAATTATGAGAGGAAAAAAAGTTGAAAATATTCTTTTTCATGTCTGATTCTGAATGCAGTATATATTCGGTTTTGTTGGTTTCAAGTTAATATGCGTGAGTGAGTCTGGTTTATTATATATATGTTCCAAGATTAGAAACCTTTTCTAATTGTTTGTTCTTCGCATTTACCTTCAACTGAGTTGTATTTTGCAATCTAGATTTTAGTGAAGCATGGTTGAAAGACTGAAATTTAGAAAAACAGTTATAATATGAAAATATAATTGCTTCATCAATGGAGATGTGTTTGTGGCTTACAGATGTTGGACTTCTGCGGTGGGACATTTGTTTCTGCCAAAATTGGTTCGAGCAGTGTGGTTCGATAATTTATTCTCTGACCTCGTGTCTATTTATTAAAAAATTTAAAACTGGCCACCGTAAATTCAAAGCAAATCAGCCAAGTGGCCAACCAAAGAGACAAAGATTTGTAGATCTAAAGTTTAAAACGTTTACAAAATAAGTTTGACAAAAGTTTGATCTAAAAACACAACAAAAATAAGAAAAAAAACACACGTAACTTACTTAGATCGTATGCTAAAGTATTTTACAAAATAAAATGATATGTGTACGAGCACATAAATAATTTCAACACATTGGGATGACGGTGGCACGCACTTATTTTTTTTTGGATAATAGTCTGTTTTTTTAAGGCAGCAAAAGAGAAATGAACGTATTATTAAGTTTTCTAAAATAATAGGAACTAGATCCTGGATCTGCGCTATATGCAGGTTTTTTATTAACAAATTTTTTTCTAAGCTTGATGAATATTTTGGTCAAAAAATATACTAATTTAACTGTGGTTCAAACATATCCACAAATTTTAATGTTTGAACAGGTCAAACATTTTCTATCTCATATATGTTAGGCCAAGTTTTATATCAAATTAATTTTTGTGTTATTTAGAAACGGACCAGACAAAAATTAATCGGTCCAAATGAAATATGTTTCATTATGAGTCGAACAGACAAAACTTCAGTGTCCGAAATTCTCATCTCATCAGTCGAGGCTCGAGAGCAACCCTAACAAATACATCGAAACACAAATCAAGCTAATTCTCATTTCCTTATCTGAAATCATGAATCCTACATCAATAATTTTGTATTATCTTCAGATTTCGCCACGGCTTTAGAATTTCCTGAGAGATTTGAGAGAGTGATGAGGTTGGGTTGCAACGAGTCATCGATTTGGGAAAATGCTGAGCAATTTGGTAAGTTGAGTTCTTAATAGTTTTTCTCGTTCCAGAAATGTTTGGATTTAACAATTATGCGTCTCTTCTGTGATTTAATTTTTGGTGAAACAACGATTACTTCGATATATAACCTGGCTAACTTAATTTCGAATGACATACAGTTTTGCCAAATTCATGGAATTAAGAGGCAAAGAGAACAGTAAACAGGTAATATCACATATATTTTTATTAAGAAATGTTAATTTTTGTTCCTCGTTGTAGATCTAGAAATCTAGATAATCTATTAATTGATTTCCTATTTTCATTCTGCTTAAAACAATGAAGACGGATGTTTGAAAAAACACAGGATGAGATATTCAAACACGACATTTTCCAGATAAGTGTCCATTCCCTATTGTTTCGATAAATAGTAAATCCATTACATAATTTACTCCAGTATCTGATTTATACTAACATGGAATGTTTTTTGCAGAAAATCTCCGAAGAAAGAAGATATTGAAACAAAGTAACAGACTCCAAAATACTAAGATTACATCATCTAATAATATCGTTAGTCTAAATATTTCTTTTAAGAATACTTTGATCATATATATGCCTCTAACTAATAAACTAATATAAGTCTTTGTTACAGATCGAAAAGCTTGAAAAGGATATCAGCAGAATAAAGACAAAGCCACATATCAGCTTCTATGTGTTATCAATAAGATAATAATTCAACATTACATATAATGGAAGTAGTATATAGATGTCGTAGGTTGATTGTTATTATGAAATATAGAGTTGTAATATATAATATATATATACTAATATAAGTATCTCATTGATATAAGAAAATCAATAACAATTTAAACTATAATTAAGAATAATCCAAAACTGAATACTTTGTAATAAAAACTGGACAAAGTAATTATGGAATATTGTTCATCCATACGACTCATTTGTTAAAAATGAGTTCCCGTAAAAATCATTAAGTAACTACAACCATGAGTTACCAATTAATTAATTTCATAGGTTCTGGAAAACCTCTTTAAAAACAATATTTATAGTCTTTCTTTGAGGTTTTCCTTCCTTATCAACAATCAAAATCTTAAGATCTTTCTTAGATGTAACTCTAGATATGGCAACATAAAGTTGTCCATGAGAAAAAACAGGTCTAGGCAAAAAGATACCAACTTCAGGAAGAGACTGACCTTGGCTTTTGTTGATTGTAATTGCAAATACTACGGTTAAGGACAGCTGCCTTCTTCTCGTTTTAAATGGCAATTTGGCATCTGAAGGAGTAATTAAAATACTAGAAATAATAACTTTAACTCTAATTTTCTCTCCTGTTATAACCCTTGCTTCAACCATAAAATCTGCTAGTTAAGTAATCTGTAATCTAGTTCCATTCATTAATCCTCCAATTGGATCAATATTCCGCAACAACATCACAGGACAACCAATCTTCAAACGAATACTGTGATTAGGTAATCCAGAAACTCGCATACTGTTTAAAAACTCTGGTGTAAGTGCATCGTTTTTAGCTGCGTTAGTATCAGAAGGGTCTAAAAAGTCTGCACTTAAATATACTTTTTCCTCTCCTAGTTCAAGAAGAAAAGACACGCATGTTAAAAAACTTTAAATACAAACATGTCAATGTAAAATGAAATCGAAAAGATATGATTAAGTATGAACTAACCATTTAGCTTATCGAACATATGCTCATTAATCATGTTGACATCTTCATTCGTAGGACAAAGAATTGCTCTTCCTTGAAAAAACTTAGGATCTTTATTCTCTTGAAGTGATGCAGTATCTCCATATATCTTTCTGCTTATACATTCTATAGGATCCTCTGAATCTAGAATAAGAAACTCTTCTGGAATGTCAATTAGAGCTTCACCATCATTAGGCTCAGAAATCTTCCCATCCCCAACCGCTAATATCTACTCTGAAAAATCCTTAAGGTCCTTTGCTTCTTGAATAGATAGATTATCAGAAACCAACCGCATATTCTTCATCAACTTAAGCACTTTACAATGATCCCAAAGATATGAAGAATTAAGCGATGCTAAAATAATTTCTGCCCTACCAGCACCATGAATAACTGGAAGTAATTGTCTAAAATCGCCTCCAAAAACCACTACTTTTCCACCGAAAGGTTTATTCTCCTTCTTCCCAATAATATCTTGTAAACTTCTATCCAAAGATTCAAAACAATGTTTTCTCATCATGGGGGCTTCATCCCAAATTATAAGCGATGCCGGCTTGACTAAATTTGCAAGATCAGAGCCAGCTTTCATTGTACATGTTGGAAAATCATCAGGACTTAAAGGGATGCCAAACTTTGAATGAGCAGTCCTGCCACCTTGTAACAACAGAGAAGCTATTCCACTTGAAGCATCATTTAGAACAATATCTCCTCTTGATCTGGTTGCAGAAGATAGAATTCTCCATAAAAAAGTTTTTCCAGTTCCACC